GTTTAGAAATATTTCTACAATCATTTCCTAATTTTACAAATATTTTCTATGACTTTTCACAAAAAAACGTTCTATCATACCTGCTTTATTTTAATTTCTGCTAAAATTATTTCTTAGAGACTTCTTAATTACGATAGAATAATTTTTTATGTTGTAAATTAAATTTTCGACTCTTATAAAACTAATTCTTAAATTATATTGTCCTTTACTTCCACATTTCTATGCTGAAGCCATCTAATGGGGAAGATTATATTAAGAATAAATATTTATTTACACTCTAAAGAGCTATATAACCACATCTGCAGGCCTTTTTCAGGTTACCTTATTTACTTCTCGAAAATATATTTAAGATCGTCTTTAAATTATATTTTTATCCTGTTTTCTACACTGAAATGTCAAACTTCCGCTTTGGGGCACACTTTAATAACAGGAAAGTGCCAAAATCGAGTTGGCCAGGCAGAGGCTGGCTGTAACCTTGCCTTCATTTTGGCTACCGATGGGCAGACATCTCGTGCTCGCTTGCAATACGCCTTAGCTCGTGAAGCCGCTCATGACGCCGATCTGCCAATCATTGAGCTACAGGCTTGCGAAGCCCTGGCTGCTCTGGAACTGTACCGAGGTCGCCATCAGCGAGCTGCAAGCTATCTACACGCAGCAATTACACTATGTCCTGCCATTGCCGCTAAGAAATCACCTCAGATAAGGCAGGTTCCACATGCAGATAAGAACATTCAGACGAGTTTGTCTAAAGTATTTGGCTTGGAAATGGTCCGCAAAGGTAATGGCCATTTGATTCCCCGATGGCTCAGACCAAATGGAATGGAAATTAGAATACTAAAGACTAGGACTGCTATATTTGCTTTTGGCAATGAAGCATTACCGGCCTGGAACATGCAACAAACACTGGAGCTGGAGAGTTTTGGCATTATTAAGGATCAGGTATATACACCTTAGTATTTTTAAAAAGTTTATACTTTAGATTCGTCCCTGCAGGGAGCTTCCTTATTGATCCTATATTATAATGAAGTGTAAAAGTACTAGGATACAGTGTATATATATATATATACGTAGTTCTAGTAATTTATTTGGTAGAGCCAACCATTCTTTGTTTATACAAATGAGTAGCAATAGTAACATGACTATCCACATATTAAATGATTTGATTTGATTCAGAATGCGCACAAGCTTTCAAGCTACGAGCGGTTTATAAACAATAGTCTTCAATTAGGTCATAAATATTTATTATAGTTGCAAATTCTTGCGTTATAAGTTCCAATTATTTTTTATATAGTTTTTGCATATTGATGCAATGACACTTTTCTAATTAAATGGATC